AACTTTTCGGACATGAGATTTTAACACTAGTGATGGGCAAAAAAAGAGGAGTTAACCATTTTTATTTTTATAATGTGACATACTATGTACATTTGAACTGCAGTCTTTATTTAAGCTCACGTACCTAGCCATTTGATTGCATCTGTACCCCTGCTTTTAACTTATTGTTAAATTATGCTCCTAACTTGGTTTAATAAGTAATTTTTAAGAGAGATCCCATAGCAGTGCCACAAAATTTAAGAACTAAATATCTGTGTTACTTCTATGGGATCTCTTTTAAAAACGAAGTCCTTATAAAGCCTTTCCTCTGTAATTCCTATGAGTGACATTCTGCTGGAAACTTCTCTCTTTCTGAATTCACAATATTATCTTTCCAGAGCTGTAAAGTTCCATCCTAAAACATAGCATCCTTGAAGTCTCTCAATTTAGAATCAGATATAGATAAATAAGATATCAACAAATAAACTACTGATTCAACTTTTCCAGTATCAAATCCTCTGAATATTTTGTTTAGAGCTATTGTACTGGTGTTGCTAATTTCTTCCTTTTTGTGTAAGTTTGTTTGCATAAGCTTATATTTCTGCAGAGTTAACAAGCATCTGGTACAGTACATATTAACTTAAAATGGATTTTAATAGTTTATGATCTACTGTATCTTTGTCTTCTGTTTTTTTTAATAAACTGGTGACATCTTGTATAACTGAATACAGTGTCTAATGTTTCCTTCTCAATTCGTGAATAATTCTGCTATTAGCTGTCATGGCCTCAAAAACATATACAACTGGCAAATTATCTTAAAGGCTACTTCCAAACCAGTAGCACTAGCATCAACTGAAACAGAATCATTTTATCAACAACATAATATCTCAGAATTAGCAATTTAGTTGAATCTTTAAGCTCTGCAAATCCCTTATCGTGTGTACTGATAAGCACTGAAACTCCACATCTTGAATAACAGTTATAAAACTCTGGTCGTATTTGCTATAAATTTGAGCAAATACGTAACCATCTAAAAAAAAAAAATCTTTGTTTTATTCTGTGGACTAGGCATTCCAACAACAGCCTCAGTTTTAATTTTATCAAATTTTACACCATCTGCAGTAAGAATGTGATCCAAATTTATTTCTGTTGATCCAAATCTACACTTTGCTACATTTAATTTTAGATTTCTTTCTCTACATCTGTTCAGGACTTGTTTTATTTTTATTTTTAATCATGCTCTGTAATGACCTCAGTATCCTTTAAATGTTGCTGTATTATTCTCTGATAGGCTTCAGGAGCTGGTGAAATACCAAATGGCAAAATGTATATAGCTTTGAACTATTTTCATCTAGTTGTATTTGCTAAAATACATTGCTAGCACCCAAAACAGTAAACTGTAAAGTGAAGTAAGTAAACAAAGGTGTTTTTTAAAATATCCTTATTCATATTGTTTGGACTGAAACAAATCCTAATTTTTTCTCTACTCGATTTTTCCATTTTTACTACAGGATCAATCTGTTAGTTCTGCAGCTTGAACTGCTGCACCCAGCTGCTTCATCTGTTTGAATTCTCTTTATACCTTAGCTCTTAAGAGAGTCTTCCTGGGAGCACAAATAATTGGATGGACTTGTGGATTTCATTTAATAGAATAGTAATGTGGTAAATAACCCAGTCCTTGAAATATATCTTTATAATCTCTAAAACTACTATTGCTTTCTTTTATTCAGTTTACACATTGTAGAGTTCATTTCTATTATTATCTCCATACCTAAAACCTCTTTTGCATCAAGAATTGTTATCTGAAAAGCCAATATGAAACTTTTATCTCTGTATTCGCAAAGCAGCTCACATTTCCTCATATGCTTAATTTCTGCCCAAAGTAAGCAAGCAATCTTGCATTTGATTCCCCCCCCCAAAGATTTAATTTACAAGACCTATGAACATTTATACACAAGACATTAACTTGTGCCCCAGTATCTATTTTAAAGGTTACCACTTTACAACTATTCACGTTCAATGGAACGTACTAGTCTTTGTTCAAATCATTTGAAATGGAAGTCATAGTTCTTGGATACGGTCTTCTTCCTGATAATCTTTTTTTCAGGCCACAATATACAAACTTCTTTAATTTGCAACTTTTTACTCTTTTTTTCTTACATAGTTTTGCACTGAGAGCCAGTGTTGTGTAGTGAGTAGGGAGTTGGCCACAAGGAGGATAGAGTACTATGTATACTGCCTTAAGTTCCTGATTTAAAAGGTAGGATAGACACCTGACAAATAAAATGATTGCATTTCCCACATTTTCTACAATCTTTTTCCATATTCCAGGCAAGCCTGAATACTACAGTAAATACCGCAGTGCTGCAAGGTTTCCTAGCTCCTGTCCTTAACTATGGCATTTGAAGTAGTTTAAGTTTCAGTTTATTTCAATAACATCTATAGTGTTGTGTTGTTTTTGTATAGTCCTGAGTGTACTCAACAGATTTATTGCAATTTCTTCTCAGAAATATCTATTGTTCGTTTCTTTTTCTTCCCAGAGTTAAGTCTCACTCTTTTGGTAATCTTGCTTGTATTTTACTATCCTCTTTCCACAAACACAAGAGATTCTTTCAACTGACAAAATTCACAAGTCTGTACTAATAACTTTAAGTCAACCATACCAGGATTGATTTTTTTTTTTCTTTCCTGATGTATCCTTGTGAAAAAATGTATCCATTCCATAAGTAACCTCTTTTTTTGGTCCATAATATGCTTCAAACCTAAGAATCAAAACTTGCAACTTTTGTTAACCTGATTCCCCATCAAACTGGAAAAGCGCTGTGGGTTTTTCCCCAGCAACATATGGGAACGTTGTTTGACAATTTTCAGTCTTATAATCTCTCCTAGTTACACTAAACAAATCTTTGCTTCCATGTTTTCCAGTTTTCTGCAACATTACCTTCAAATGCCAATTTACCTGGAGGCTTCAGCCAATCCATACCAGTGCAATCTTCCCCAACCTTTTCTGACTTTGTTTTTTTTTCTTTAGACAAACATTTAAAAAGGCAGATCCAAGTATTATGAAAAGATTTACTCTTTAATTGGCAACAAAAACATATTTAATAACACAGCTGTCTTTATTTGTGTTACAGGCACACTGCTGTTAGTGACACAGGTGCCATCAAATTGCTAAAATAATTTGCACATTATGCTTACCTATTACTCAAAAGTAACCCAGTTGTTTTGGTGGGGGGGAATGTTTGCTTCGTCTAAGCACTTTGAAGAGGTTTTGTCAAGACTAAGCATCCCTAATGTGTAGACTTCTGCTTTGAGCGAATTAGTTTAATTCATTATTAAAAATTCAAGTGTATGCCTTGCCTATCAGGAGCTTTTGTCCCTTGACTTGCTTTCTAGGATAGTATATTTAAGCTTAAATCCAAGAAGATCAGTTAGTGCATTTATTTCGTATTAATTGTTAGCTAGTCATTTGCAAATTACAATGTATTATCATGTCCAACGCTAAAGAGGAACCAAAGGTGTTTTTCTGTTTAACTGTCTGCTCTCACTTCTGGCTTTTTTTGAACAAACCATTGGCTGTTCCAGTCTATAGAATGAGAATCAAAAGTGTCTAGTATTTAACGGGTCTAGAGATTTATGCTATATTGTTTCCCTTGCAAAGAAATATCTTCGGGTTGTATTTTTTTAAAAAATCGCATACACAAGAAAAGAAAATCCATGCAAAAATACCAGTCTTACACTAATAGAAAACAAGTCGTGTGTATTCCTATCCTACTATACAATTGAATTTTAATATTTAAATCAATATTAACAGTAAGGAACATAAACATATAAAATAGGGAGTGAAATACAGGTTTTTAATTAATCCTTCAATTATATAAAATGCTTGTTCAGATATAGAGGTCAGTTCTTCAGGCCACTACAGAATAGATAGATAATGGATATCCTTCCAGTATTTTAGGATTAATTGGCACAATGAGCCACAGCAGTGTCCAGAAGGATGGAACTGCATCTTGATAAACTTCCCCAATTATTAAAATACTGCTCCTACATAAAGAATACTTCTGAAGAAATACTGTCTTTTTCTGTATATATAATAGTTTACTGATTTGTATATATGCAATATGGGTATGTACCTATCTATATCACATATGTATCTAAAGCTATAAAATAGATGTGTGTGAACATTACACAAAAGATCAATATTCCAAAGAATAATTCCTCTCTGACCATCTCCTAGCTTAGCTGCAGAAACACTAAAAAGTATGTCATAAGTACTAGAGTTGAAGATGGAAAAAGATGCAGTTGTACTGTACTTAAAAATGGGAAGTGAATTCATTTAGACTGTTCCAAGGCCATAACCTAAATCTTAAAATTTTAAAAACCTGTGAAATATAATCAGGCTTTTCAAGTATAATATTCTTGAAAATTATACTTTTCAAGTATAATATTCTAATATTCTGGATCTCACAGTCCAGACACTATATTTGTCTGGATAAGGATGTGTTGAAGAAAAATTAAGTCTATTTACTTGGGAAAAATGTATTGCATAAATTAGCACTGTTGAAAACAGAAGTCAGAAAAAGAAAGCATACACCCGTCAGTTCAATTAAAATAACAAAATAAAACAAAATCTTACAATAATGCTGAAATCATGCAGCAATATGGAAATGTCTCCTATCTCATGGAAATCTTACAAGATTTCATGTAATATTGTTGATCTTCAGAAATGAAGAATTTGCCAGTTTCTTTATTTAAAGAGCTTATAATTCATCTCACAGTACAAAGCACATTCTTTGGATATTAGTGTCCTGACTTAATCGCTGGAATCTCCAGTTAAAAGTATTTTTCAGAGTCCTCTATTCCAATTTGTGCATAACTCTTTCAGCAAGGATGCTCAGGTGAATTAGGTGCACTGCTTTTTCACCAAATGAAAATGATGTACATGTAATTGTGCTGGTGTTCTTTGATATCACTGTGTTTTCATTTAAATAGGTTACTGATTTCTCTCTGTCTTCTAGAAATTCCGGGTCGATATGCCAGGATCGAGCAGCACATTTATTCCTACTCTGAACGCAATAACCACCAGCCAAGACCTACAGTGGATGGTTCAGCCCACTGTGATAACCTCCATGCCAAGTGCCTACTCTCGCTCGCATCCCTACAGCCATGCACTGCCCAATCTATCTTCAGTTACTGGACACACAGCCCTACAGAGACCTGGTGTTATTAAAACTATTGGGACCACCGTGGGCAGGAGGAGAAGAGATGAGCAGGTAGCTCCACTATTTAAAGCAACTAGCAGAATGGACTTGATATTGAATGCAACATTTCTAAGTCAGTAGCTTCATGCTTCAAATGTTGGTGGCATCTCTGACAATAGATTTATGGATTACATGAATCTAGCTTGAAGGGATACTGACTTATACTTCAGCATAAGAAAATCTGTACAAACTGTAGGTTACTAGTTCAGCAAATTTGTCACTGCCCAGAGTCACCCCACAGTGAGATGGACAGTGACAAATTTGAAATATAAATAAAAAAAATAAAAATAAATATTTTGGTGTGAGACCTTGCATTGGTCCCAGGATTTTCCAGTGAAGGAATCTTGAGTAGCAAAGTTGGGAAATACTGAAGATTTGTAGAGTTAAGGTAGAAAGTTAACACCAGTCAGGACTGACATCTTTCAGCAAGCTAAATTATTAGCCCAATCTGATGTGATACCTCTGCTTAAGTTTTCATTTGCATTAAGGCTTTAATGGTGTCTCCTTCAGTGACAGTTTTACTGGAATGAGTGGATTCCAAAAGCATTGGAAAGATTCACTATCTTGTTTTTCATTACAACTAAATTGTTGATTGTAATTCATGGCTTAAAGGCCTAAAATAGGCTTAAAATAATGCAAAATGCCATTCTTTGTTGCCCGGTGGACATCTACGCAACCCAGTAACTTCTTACGTATGGGGAATCCAAGAATCTTGTTTTGTTGAATAGTTACCAGGGATTCTGAGCAGAATATAAGCTTGAAAGTCAGTAAGTGGATTACTAAAGCCAGGTATTTGGCTTATTGGTGAATGTCATTGGACTAATATTTAACTTTAAAAAAAAAACTTTCTCTGTTTGGAGATTCATAACTAAGAACTAAAGATCTAGGGAGAAGGAAATACAATGAGGATGCTGGTTAAGGCAGCAACCCTGTTTTTCCTCCTAAGAGGTAGTTCCATCCTAGGAACATAAGGGCTGTTCTGCTGGGAATGCCCAAAGCATGCCAATTAGTCCTTCCCACAGTAGCCACCCATATTCCTCCAGAATCCATAACCAGGCAAGAAGTAATAAGTAGTAATCTCCTCCTGTTCCTGAGCAACTAATTTAGAGATAAATATATACCTGAATTTGAAGGTAACACATTACTCATTATACTAAGGCATAATATGATTTTTATGCCCCTGGTTTAGTGTGTTGTGCAAACCCACCCATTATGGCATATGGATATGTACAAACCAGGCTACAATGGCAAATTTAAACCATGGTTAAAAGAAGACTGGCTTACCATGATGTATGAGTGCTGCCCTGATTATTACAGCTAATTGTTATTGAAAGCCAGTATGGTACAGTGATGAAGGTGTTGGAATAGGAGCAGAGCACATGTTCTAGTCAACCCTCAGCCACAGCAGCTCACTTACTTTGAGCCAGTCACATTCTCTTAGCCCAAGCTACCTCATAGACTGGCTGTTGTGGAGAAAATGGGAGAGAGCACAACAGTAGGGTTCTCCATCATTGATCTAATCCCATTTAAAGCCATTAAGGCCCATAACTAGTGTGATTTCTTCTGATTTTTGAATTTACATAATTCCCAGTCAGTATAGTTGATGGCTAGGGGTTATGGGTGCTATGGTCCAAAGAATCTGGATCATGAGCATCCACAGAGGGTTCAAAATCTGCAATATGGTGAGAGTAGTGTCATAATCAAAGGTCCCCTTTTGATTGCAATACTGAACCCACCATCTTTCAGATTTTGATCCCCCCTACTGCTGATCTGGAATGGATCTGGTTGCTTACCTTGGCTATTCAGGCATAAGGAAAAGGATTAGAGAGCTAACAATGCAGCTGAGAATAGGATAAAACCCAGCCCTTGGGCATGGGTACCACTCAAATCTTTTGCACTGGAGTCAGGTTTCTTATTCCTAGTTTGTTGTTGGATTCTACAAAGAAGTTTATAAGATTAGAGGCTTGACTAGAATAAGAAAACTTTTGGGTGGTTTATTCCTTTTTCATTGGAGCAGATGGTTAACTATGGTTAAGAATTTGCAGTGGCATTGAGATAACTCTTATCTCTGCCAAATGTACAGGTGGGAGGAGAAGGCAGAGAAGTTATTAGAAATCTGAGTTTATCTACAATCCAAAAAAGCATAAATCCTCCTTCCTGGGCTGTGTGTAGGCACACAATAAAACATATTGTGCTGTCCATGACATTTATCTCCTATTACTTAAGGGCTGCCTGATGATGCAGGAAATGTAGTGTCTTATCTTAAAAAGTCAGAGAGGTAGTAGAGGAAAGAACTTAAAGGCAGCTCTTTTGATTTGATTAGGGTCATTCCAGTTTGTCCAGCCCCCCAGGCCTTGGCTTCTGACCTTCCAGTTAATGACTGTTGTCCTAGGAGAAGAAGCACATAGATTTTTTTTTTTCTAAGAAAGAAAAACTTGCAACATCTTCCTATGCTTTACCTCACAAACCACCCACATTGTGAAACCACTGGGAGATTTCTATCTTTGCATTCAGCCTTAATTGCAGATTCATTGTTTTCTTGCTCAATCTTTCTGTGGTTTCTCCACTCCTGTGCTCTCCCACCACCTTGCTATCACTTTTTCTTTCTCCCCAGTGGCTCCAGTGCTATATTATATCAAGGCCCTGATAATATCTTGAAGTTAGAGTTTTTTCTCAGAGCCCATGGATCTGTATCAGGGAGCCTCAGGTCTAATATCCAGAATTGCATTGTTCAGCTAGTAACATTATAGCTTTTGAAGTAATTAGCTTTCTTCATCAGTCCCCAGGCCCTAACTGCCACCACCTTCCAGGCTAGTATAGTGCTTGAGGTTAAGAGGTTAGGCAAGAACTGGGGAGACCCAGGTTCCAGTCCACCCTGAGTCATGGAGGTTCACTGGGTGGCTGTGGGCCAGTCGTACTCTCTCAACCCAACTTACCTTATAAAGTGGCTGTTATGGGGAAAAAAATGGAGGAGGGAGTGTTATGTATACACTGGCATGAGCTCCTGAAGGGAAAGCAGATATAGATCAGTCAAGCAATAAATGAAAGGTGAAAATGAAACCATGGATTCATTGGTTGAGTCACATTTCTCATTGATTCATCCCCCAAACTGCCAGCTTTGAACTGATGTTTTGTTCTTTTGTTTGCCATGCAGTTGTCACCTGAAGAAGAAGAGAAGCGAAGAATTAGAAGAGAAAGGAACAAACTAGCAGCAGCTAAATGCCGTAACAGGCGCCGAGAGCTGACTGAGAAACTCCAGGCAGTATGTATTTTGCATGAATCTCCTCCTTTCTTGTTATGTCCATTGTTCTTTGTAAGATAAAGGTGAAGTCTTGTTGAATTAAGCTCAACACGTGGTGACTTCACAGACAATCTGTATCATTTTCTTGATAACAATATGGACATAGTTTGCCACTGACTTCTTTTGTTTTTGACTTTCCACTCTAACTTATAGTCTTGGGATTTCCGAATAGCCTCCCATCCAAGTGTTAAAACAAGTCTGCCTTTGCTTACCTTTTTGAGATCAGCCAAGGTCAGCTAGGTGCTGCCATCAAACCGGATAATCTTTGTAAATAGGGCATATAATATTCTGATTTTCTGGCTGCATGATACAAAGTGATCTAATATTGTCTTGATTTTTGTTGGATACCATGACATTTCGAAAACTCTAAAGGCTTGCTGAACTGCTGCTGATGTTGAAAGCTGCCTCCTGGGGGTTCTTGCCATGGTTGGGTGGCTTTTGGTACACGGTGGACGTTTTGGGGGAGAAGGGAAATCTATTACAGATTCAAATGGTTCTTCAAAAGGTACGCATCCAGTGTCTTCATTAGGGGATGTGGAAAATCCTGGGAAACTGGTTAACAAAAGAAGAGTAAAGTAGTAAAACTGAATATGTATGAATAGTGATCTAACCACTTTTTCTCATGTTGCTTACACCAGATATCATACAAGCGCAGTAGAGTAAATGTTGAAGGTGTACAAAATTACCTAAAATACAGAAAAACCAAATGCTACTATTTCTCTCTGCTTTTCTTCATGGCCAGCAAACGAACTGCAATTATCTCAAGCCTGCTTTGCATACATATCTTTTTGGGGATCACAATTTTGCTGAAAGATTACATCCATGCTCAGTTGTAGCTAAATTGTGGTTGCACCCTTACTTGAAAGGCAAGTGAAACAACCTTGCGATCATTCTGATTCTTATCTATTAAATTGATAAAAGAGTTATCAAAATAGTGAGTAGATGTATATGGACAACATCCAGTCTTCGATAGATTCTCACGGTGACAGGTGACAAAGGTGTTGTCCCTAGGGAAACCGAGTACTACTTTATTGTAAAAAGCAAAGCAATTTTTTCTTGGAAATTTAAATTTGAATATGAATATCCATTTTTTTTTACAATTAAAAAAAATGTGAGCTTTTGTCAGCAAAGATTTTGTGTTTTGGTTGATCAAACTTATTTATGTTTTCAAATCTCTATCTAGCCTTTAAATGGCTAGCATCAGTCCCTAGGCAGTTAACAGAATCGTTCAGAGCACCTAGTCTACCCCTCTTTCTGCTGCCAGTGCATAAAATATCCTGCTACAGTTGCTGAAAGTGAAGTGAAGTCTGTTTATCTTAAAACCCCTTGCTTGGAATGCTAGTTGCTGTTGCTGTTTTTCTTGCTGACCACCTCTTTATCTTGGCACTACAGGAAACAGAGGAGCTGGAGGAGGAGAAATCAGTTCTGCAGAAGGAGATTGCTGAGCTAGAAAAGGAGAAGGAGAAGCTGAAGTTCATGTTAATGGCTCACAGCCCCATGTGCAAGATCAGCCCCGAGGAGCACCGAACCCCTCCACCTCATAACCTCCAGGCCCTGCGGACTGGAATGAGTGGTGCTGTGGTGGTGAAACAAGAGCCTGTGGAGGAAGAGATCCCCTCTTCCTCCTCTGATCCTGAAAAAGGGCAGAGATCTGTCATTAAGCCCATCAGCATTGTTGGGGGGTTTTATGGAGAAGAGCCACTCAACACACCCATTGTGGTGACTTCAACTCCTGCTGTCACCCCTGGAACATCCAACTTGGTCTTCACCTATCCCAGTGTGCTGGACCAGGAGTCACCACTCTCACCATCAGAGTCCTGCTCTAAAGCTCATCGGAGGAGCAGCAGCAGCGGAGATCAGTCATCCGATTCCTTGAACTCTCCAACTCTGCTGGCACTGTAACCCTTTAGCCACCACTCCACCCAGTTACTCTTGGGGGAAAAGCCCCACCTCAAGATCAGAGACAGCACAATGGCATTCAAGCACAAGGCCAACAAGAGCCAGGAAAGGAAATGATGTTGCTCCAGATATTTCCTGAGACAGGAAGAATATAACAAATGAAAGCCATATCGGAGTGGAGTTGGTGAGCAGTAGTCACAATCCCAGGATCCAGTGGTGAGGGGTTTCCCTCACTCACCAATTACTGCAGTGGATGTGACCATCAGTAAATTGCTAGCCATTTTCCTATTAGGCTGATGAATGAACTGACCTGGCTCCTCCTCCTGCGCTAAGTAGTACATTCCAGTTAGTTGATCTCATTTGGGCCTTAACATTTTCTTGATTTTTGTTGGATACCATGACATTTCGAAAACTCTAAAGGCTTGCTGAACTGCTGCTGATGTTGAGAGCTGCCTCTTGGGGATTCTTGCCATGGTTGGGTGGCTTTTGGTACATGGTGGAAGTTTTGGGGGAGAAGGGAAATCTATTACAGGTCCAAATGGTTCTTCAAAAGTTATGCATCCAGTATCTACATTAGGGGATGGGGAGAGTGCTGGGAAATGAGTTAACAAAAGGAGAAAAGTCTCCTTGAAGACGACAGAGAGCAGTGCACTGTTTGTGTCTACAAAGGCTGTATCGGCAACATACCTTCGTCAGTGGGCCAGGAGAGGTGCCAAGCGGGCTGGGGAAATGCCAGAGTGGGTTTCCACTAAGCCTTTGTCTCTGGCATGATGTCTTTTGTAATTAGTGTTTGTCAAATCTGTTGCTGGACCCTATGTTTTCTTTCCTTTTGACTGTCAGCCACCTTGGGTGTGATGCTGCCTCCTCTGAAGTATGCCTGGCTCACGTGCTGGTGCTGTTTCTCAAACAAAGCCACCAGCTTCCAGGTTGTGGACAGTTGCCTTTGCACAGTGCTGCCATTCTTCTCATGACTGATCAGGAAAGGGGATGAATTGAGGGAGAATGTGCAGGAAGCTAGCTGGAAGCTTCCTTGGAGAATTTTTCCCCTTTGGCTGACTTTCACTCATCAGGGCCTGGCCAGCATTATGTGTATTGCTGTCTGTCAGGCCAAGTTGGTTGGTTCTTTCCCCTTTTGCTGGTCCTAGCGACAACTAGAGAAAAATGGATTCTGCACCTTGCCTCCTGCTGCACTTGGTCTCTAAACTCTTAACTAAATATGGCTGTTGAAAAACCTGTGCTCACTACTGAAAAAGGCAGCATGATTCACTTATGTACATCCCCTGCAGTGCCAAGCAAAATTTTGTTTAATGCAACTGTACTTAAAGAATATACAGCTTTTTGCAGACATGCTCACAGATGAATTGGAGAGAGGTTTGCTAGATCTTCATCTGGTAGAAGACAGTTTTACTGTAAAACCTGTTCTTTGCGAAACACCTCATTTAGTTCAAGTTAATGACAAACATATTAATGATAGGGGTCTGCTTTCATTTTCTTTTATGTGATCTCTGGGTGAACTAGGCGAGGAGGCTGAGGGATTTTTGACCCCATTGTGCTCTTCAGAGACCAGCTTTTTGAGTTCAGGCAGGACCATCTTCAAGCCATGTTAACTCCCGTAGTGAGCATTCTTGCCTCCCTCCAAGCTTTACCTTAACAGCTGGGGAACTGCAGTCTTGAGTTGAAGTGTTTCCACTGATGTCAGTGACCACATTCCTGTTTATTTTTAATGCATCTGGATCACAGCCATAGTTAAGAATATAATGCTAGGCCATTTGATCAGAGTTTCTAGCTAACGAAGAGTTTTTTAGAATGATCTAGATTATGTTTTTTCCAATAAGAGAAGTCAGATTCAGTGACCTGAATCAATTCCAGAGAATTTGAGTACTGTAAAGGTAGTGTTTCTTTCAAGTGGAGCTCAGCCCTTGTGATTTTGTGGACATGTCCGTGTCATTTTCTGGACAACAACGATGGCTTGCTTCTTCAAGGATGTTTTTAGGCTCTTAAATCTAATCTGCAACCTGGAATTCCGAAGAGGTCTCCCAAATACTGACTAGATCCATCCAAACTCCACTTAGCTTCCAAGCCCAGAAATGGCTGATAAAGTTGTATTATCTATTTTTGCCTATGCTGGCCATAGGGAAAAAAATCTGGATTATTTCTGGCCACTGGTAGTTGAGCTGAGTACATCTAACCGCTAAGCACGTCCTAGACATTACTTAACACTATCAAGTTTCTCTTTACAGCAATAAAAGCCAAATACTTGCTTTATAGGGAAAAAAAGGCTGTACAAACTGATTTTTCTAGCTGTTATCTCCTATAGCAAACTCTGTGTTCATTGAAATAATTTAAATCAGCCTTCCCAATTTATGCCCTACTTGCAACACCAGTCTGAGCCGAAAGTCATGTGGCAAACAATGAGTTTTTCTCCAAATGTGTTGAACTGTGTCAAGTTGAGGAAGACTGATGTAAACCCAGAATAAAAAGTTTTGTCTATAGCTGCTTTTTATATACATGTTAAAAATGTTTTATTGCTCAAGATTCAGACTCAAGCATCTCTTATTTGGTATTTTAAGGAGGATTCTGCTTATAATGGGATGGGAAAAGCCAGCAACTTCTTGTCACTAGAGTTACAAGGAACTGCTCAAGATACCTATGTCAGAAGTAAGGGGCCTCCGCTTGCCAGGGATTCTCTGCCTTAGTGGGTCAGAAATAAAACTCTGCCATGGCTCCCTTGGCCCAGTCTCCATATTCTTCTTAGGCATTAATGGGAAAACTAAAGAGTGAATTAAATAATCTGCACTGCCAAGCTTGGAAGTTAAAGGATTATTGACAGAAAAGGACAATATTCTGTGAAATTTCTCATTCTCTTAAAGTGTGCCAATAGCATAGTTAGTTATGCAGTTGCATGTTGAATCTATAATTTTGCCATCATTCTGCAGATAAACCTGCAGCTAATATGTGCTTTCTAAGAAGTGTTACTCCAGAAAACTTGGAGAATTGAAGAAAATACCCGAGTAGTGATCCTTTTGTTCTAGTTCCATGAAGCAGGAGATGATAGTGCTGAGGTCAGTCAGATAGATGATAGGTGGAGTTTATGGAAGAGTTCCCTTTAAAAAATATTCCAAGCTTGGCTGAAGGAAGAGCCATCCTAAGCGATGCTTTTAGATATCTAGACTTCTCTAATTGGTTCTGGTCGTAGTCTCAGATCTCTCTCCAGATAATGTTAGCTTGATTCTTGTTTATTTTTTATACCAGTGGGTTTGTGTGCTCCAGTTGGATGATGGTTCCTGGAGCCTAGCAGCAGTAGCTTTATGTTTGGTTCATCCAATCTTGCTACTTCAAGCAGGTTGAAGTAAATCAAGCCATTATGCTCTTCCAGTAAATTGTGCCTTTATGGCTAATACCTTTGGTCATCCTTGCTGTACAATTGGTTCATTGTTGTGTTCAGGCTAAGCACTGCCATATTTTGGGTAGTTGAATCCAGCTTTTATTCCAATTTTGGCTTTTCTTTGACATCTTTTTAAATATGTACATTTATACATTTGAAATGGCATATTGTGCATCTTTTCTTCTGCTACACGAGTGTAACTGCTGTAAAATGTTTGCATGGCACAAGCTCTTGTTTTTTTTTGCTTTTTCTTACTCTTTTTTCCACAAGTTTGTGATCTACAGAACAATTGACAGAGACCTGTGTTTTATAGTTGTCACAACTTGCTGAAGGTGACATAGTAGTGGGAATAATTTAGCCTTTTGAAGGCAATACAGGATGGCATCTTACCCCTGGCTGGTGGTGATAAATAACATCTCAGTTTTAGTTTTCTGTGGCACAGTTCTATGAGTAACAAGCTTGTGTGTCAAGTTCCAATAACAGCTTTTGTGCAATAAAGCAAACTTGAGAAATTTTGTAGAGTAGATTGTGCCCAAATCTTTTACAATCTACAGGATTTATACCAAACTTGCAATGTTTAGGTATCTGATCTGGCAATGTTTTGCCCAGCTACTTTAAAATTAAAGTCTTATATGCATGCCTTTACAGAAAGCAATTCCTGTTCTTGCAGTATTTTGGAGAAAACGTAGCATTTTTTTTTTCAGAGAAAAAATCTATTTGTCTCCCAACACTAATGCATTTTCTGACTCTCTTTAAATTCTTGCTTTCTACCCATTCCAGTTCTAATGTTTATACTTGATTTTTTCTTTCCATTAGAACACAATCCAGCAAATACTTTGCAACTTCTGAATTTTAACCTGTTTTGCCCTGGTGACACAACTAGGGATGGTGTAGTCACTGGGTTTGATGAATTTTTCTCATTAAACCAGCTGAATACTTGTGATGTAACAGGACCTGAGGTCATCATAACAGTATCAATAGTTTTTTTTATTCTCTATCATATTGTTTTATTTAATTGATCCACTAAGTTCATTTGAACTTAGCAGTGTGCTGCTTCTGTATTCCACCTGATCCTAAAACATTCATTGATTTCTTATTTATTGGCAAGCAGACATTTTTTGTGTCTGCTCCAGTGAATCTGCCCACTATTAATTCAAACAACTATTTTTTATGCCAAATTAATCAGAGTGGGTCAAATATTTTAAAAGAGGATGCATATATAATGTTTACATCTTTTTCTTTGCCACAGATCTGGATTTGAAAAAGATCTTTTTTCCTACTGATTTTTTAAAATCCTGATTTTTCTTTTTTAAATAAAAATAATTATGCATGGGTATGGGTTAATAATTTCTCCCCTTCCTTTTGTATAATTTTTCCATGAGTTGGCTTAGTGCTTCATTTTGGTTTTTGCTGTTGTTCAAATCTGCATGAATGTCTCTTCTTTTTAGAAATGGTGCACATACGGTTTACTAGTCCCAGTTTCATGTTCTTTTCATTCATGAGAATTATTGTTTTCTTGGGGTGTTTTCATTAAGCCATAAGTATCTGATGGTGTGCAATAAACACTAGGCAAGTGCTTTCAAAAAAGGTTCGTATCTCAGTTGTAAAGTATGCGCTTTGCAGACAAAAGTCTCCAGAGCTTCTCTAGGTAGGACTGCCTCAATTGCTGAATGAAACAAACTTATCATAAATCACTTTCATAAACATAAATAAATCACTTTCTGTTTCCTCCAAAAATCTGTGGTTTCTATGACAATGTCAACACACCATTTAGGTGGCAGTTTTGCATATCAGTATAAATCCTAGTGCTTGTTTTATTCCAATTCATTAAAAATCCATTCTGCAGGCAGAAAGATCTAAAATGGGCTAGCAGAATACGATTAAATTCCCACAGCGAGAGCAGAAATTATGCCCTTCCATTATATCCATTGGTTTCTATTGTGTTGGGTCTTTCTCATTAACGACAAAGAATGTTGATGTGATTCCATATTCAGGCTGGTGAAATAGATTTTCTAATGTTTAGTGCACATCGCTACTCTTGGCTTACACAAATGGAAAGAAAAACATGGCAAAAAATGGGAAATCTGCAAGAACACCAAACTGTACACGTGCATACATATTTTATAATTCTGGAAAACAAAGCCAGAAGAACTGAAGGAAGTAAATATTTTTATGTCTCTCTCTACAAACCTCATGAGATTAATAAGAACCATAAGGACTCAGGGGAAATTTGGAGGGAGAAAAGCACCAAAACTTTCTTACCTATATATGGTGGGGGGGGGGAATTCCCCTATATAAAATGTATAGAGAAATGGTTTCTATATATGCATTTTCAGTCTTCTGCAGATCATAAGATAAAGCAAGAAGAATTCTTTCAGTACAAAAGAATCAAAACTATTTTTCTGTCCTAGAAAATGGTTCTCCTTCCTTCCTACTCTATTGAATCTTAAGACTGTTCCGATTTCTTCTTTGTGGCTGTTTTGATGTGGGAAAAAAAAACAGAATTATGTGTTGAAAATAGACATTTGGTCTCTCTCAGTGAGCAGATAAATGTTGTGTGTGTGTATAGATTCTACTGTGTAGTCCCAATAAATATTGGTGAGAAGAAGTGCATCTTCATTAGCACAGTAAATTAATGGTATAAAGTGAAAAAATGCTTTAGGACAAAAGGGCCTGATCTCTTTTGTTTATATGACTGTGATCTTAAATGCATTCACCTTAGATGTATGTACACCAGTGATAAAATCAGTAGAGAAAATTGTTTCAGTGATTTGATTTTTGTCACCATATATACAAATCCATAGAAACCGTTACATATATTTTTTTTCCACACATCCAAAGTTTTGTTTTCCTTTTTCTCCAATATGGGATGAAATAAGTTTTGATAGAAGTTATTTAAATTGGGAGCCCTTTTCTGAATGTCTGTGTAGATCTCTCATTGGCAGAGAAGCTTGCCTGAGTGGTCATCTTCTTATTCCTTTTCTTGTAATGCAGGCCTACAATATTTGCACTAAAATTACAAAAATGATGGTATGGAGATGGGTTAGAGAAAGCTTGCTGCTATGAAAGAAAGAACTTAAAATAATGGCCATGCTTTTACAGGTTTAATGTAGTACCATTTTGTAAAATGAAATCAATCTAGATGGAAAAGAATGAAGGTTTTATATATATGTGTGTATGTATAAAATTATAATTATTATTTTTTACTTTCTCTTGCTGTTCATTTCCACATCCCATTTGATTCTATTCTGTGTTCTTTCATTGCTACTTTTGTGATTGTGTTCATTAACCCCTATCCCCAAGTTTAAACACTTGTAAATGATGCTTTCATGGCACTGCGGACACCTTTTTTGTTTGTATAGTGAGATCTAACTGGAGTTCTTCTCTCTCTTCAGTTGAATTCATTAAAAAAAATCTCTTTGTTATGACCAACTGAATGCTTATATTTTCCTTCTCTCTAAACAAGAATGGCTGATGTTGCCAGTTGCTTCTTGGTGTGGTAATTCAGAGGGATTCTTCCATCAAAAGAAGGAGCCTCTGAAATTCAGAACTGAAGCATTTCTGGGAGATGCTAAATGCTCAAACTCTTACGTATGACAGCATTCCACCAATATTTTTGCCTTGCTGTGCAGGACAGACAAGGGGTAGTATAAGAGAGGGCGTGGCCTCATAATGGTTATCTGCACAAAGAAGACATCCCTACAATCATAAAAGTTTTAAAAATGTAATTCATGGTGAAAATAAGGAGCGCTCTATACACATCTGTTTGCATATCCAACATTCTTTCCTAAAGAAGCAACCTTGTGTTTTGAATGGCTGCCCAGGAGTTAGACAATCAACAGGTGTCTGTTTTCTTGCCACTTGGATTTTTTCTGCTGCATAGCTTTTAAAGGCACTAGAATCTAGGCCAAAAATATTATTTCCTCTCAATTCCAAGGTTAGAGGTTTTTATGCGTGCACACACATATACGTAAGTGCATACATACCTCCATGACACATCTGGAAAGGGGCAGGATTTTTTATTTTTTAAGAAGCTTGGACAGCTGGGAATAAAGATGGCACCTTACAGAAATCATTTCTGTGACTCCTTGGTATCTGCGGAATTTATTTTGCAGAAATGTGTAGAGTGTATTTTTAGAGTGTAGAGACTCATCATTATAGAACAAGTGCATTTGGTGAGATCCTTTTTCTGCAAATCTTTTAGAGTGTCTGAATCTGGTGATTCCAGCTAGTCAAGATGGATGCCGTATGAGACTCAAAAGAAGTCTGTGGAGGACTTGTAGCAGCCAGTAGGTGCATTTGCACAACATTCCTTCAGAGACTACTGCTGTGCTTGCTGGCTGTGAGACTGAAAGGATGTTGGTATAAAGTACTATATGTGGACAATCAGTAATGATATGGTGATGACATGCATTATTGTAAAAAAAAACTCTTTCCCTTTCATCCCCCTC